GGTAAAATGTAACTAAATAGTTAACTGGAAATATGAGTGGTTTAATTTTAATGTGATAACATAAAGCATTAAACACTCCAGTACTCAAAATACTAGGATCTAGTACTAGAACTCATAGGACAGTGGTCATTAATCATTAGTACTATAAGTTTGGAGATTAACTTTAATGGAAATCTCTAGATTCTAATTGGACACCAGCCTGCTGTTTCAAACCTCAGTTGGCAGCTCAGTACATTCTGTGGGTATAAACCCGTGGCTGACACTGCACACTATGAAATATCTCCAACCACTGCTCCTCAAAGTGACAGTTCACACTATACGAAGCCTTGAAGTGATCACAAGAGCTTGACAATTAAGAGGGGAGGCAGATACTGGGCAGAGGAACCTCGTGGAAAGGAAGCTGTTGCAGGAGGTTCGGAGAGTCTAACAGCAGTGTGCTGACCAAGAAGCAGTGGACATAATGTGGAGGGAAAAAAAGTGGGCAAAAAGTGAGGTGTTTAAGTGTGGGGGTGGCTGATCACTACCACTTTATCTGTGTCCTTTGTCTTTTTCTGGTAAGTTGTGACCACAGGAAACCACACTAACTTCAGAATGATGACAATATTTATCTACTGAGACAGGAAAAAGAAAATGTCATCCACAAAGAAAAATGTGAAAACCACAAAACACTGATTGGATTATAGATACTGGAATCATGTTTTCTATGATACCTATTTACCTGAAATTGTATCCTAATTGAGAACTTAGAGAGCAGCCTTCTTGTGAATGGAACAAATGGGTGATTAGAGGCACAAATAACTCCACACGTATGACACCATGGAGACAACATTAAAGGCTATCATTCCAAAATGATTGTGGTGCCTCCTGGCTCCTGATATAAGGAACAACCCTGAAGTTGCTGTAGAAAGAGCTTCAGTGACGCTTTATTTTTTTACTTTTATTTTGAAAAGAATAAACCCAAATGAGAAAAAAGGAAAACAATGGGGTCATTTGAAACAAAAGGACGGACATAGTACATGATTTAAAACCACAAATACAAGATGATCTACAGTGGTTACCATGAGGTCTCTTGTTATCTTCAATAGAATTGCCCATATCATCAGGTATAATAAAATTAAACATGGCAGTTTGGAACAAAATCAATAAAAACAAAACATTGGAGATATTATAGGACTTCAAAAGAGGATAATAGTCAAACCAAGAAATGGTATCATAGTGAATCTTACTATTTTCAGAGTAGTTACCTCTATTCTTGGACTTGATACTATCAAAAATAACAGATTCAAATAAAATCAGTCAAGACAAGACAGCCACTGAACAAAACAAATTCAAATAAAATCAGTCAAAACAAGGCAGTAAAGGCAATACAGGGTTTCAGATTAAGTTAATAGGAAACTAAAAATGATTACCATAATATATCCTGCTATCTATGTAATAGCTGTCTATGCCCTCAAATCTAGTGCAAGTAAACAAACTGGAACGGAATATAAACAAACTAAACAGAGCTATGAAAGCCATGTGGGTTTCAAATCTTGATACAAGATTTACAATGTCCTCTGCCTTCCCTATTTAGACAGTTCCTCCCCTTTCACTTCCCCAGGGTGCACTGTACATTTTGTATCCCACTAACTCTTTCAGTCTTTAGATTAGGAAGGCCACCTGCTATTTACCTAAGTGGTTCTGAACCTTTTTACCCCTGAGCTTGGTCTCAAGTTGCCAGACCAGTGATGCTTTAAACAAGTTTTTCATGTTTTTTATTTTACACAAATATCATTAGAAAAACAATGAACACTGAGTCACTCAATTGTTTTTAAGTACTAGAGATTAAACCCAGAGCCTCCCACTGAGCTACATTCCCAGCCATTTTTTAAAAAACAGGCTCTTGGTACATCACTCAGTTGCCCAGGCTGAGTTCAAACTTGAGATCCTCCTGCAGCAGCTTTCCAAAGTGCTGGGATTGCAACTGATGCCAAATCAAACAAGGAAACACCAGTCCTTGTTCTTTTACTGCAGTGCTTTCTCATCGTGTGTTTAAAGAGGTACAATTCAGTCAGATAAAATATAATGCACAAGCTGAAGCCTATGGTCCTTATTACAATCCTTGAGAACAAGTTTGATTTCAGGTTTAGAGTTTTTTGCATTTTATAAGTACTACATATGGATACACATATGTGAAATAAAATACTAGTATAGTATCATTGGATTCACTTGAAAACCAGAATTAGGTCTTTAGCAAAAAATTAAAACATAAGGACTATAATTAGCTAAGCTTAAGTTTCAGTAATAAACAGGTGAAAATTTTTCTTTCACGAAGGTATAGATCTTATTATTTTGGATAAGAGACACACCTATCATGTTGGTATACAGAATAGATTATTCTTAATTCATCACAAAGCAGTTTTGAATTTCACTCCTCCCATTACCAGACTTTTCCATGCATGCTTCCATAGTGATAGCTTATTTGAGTATTTACCTGCATGTTACAGTAATGAGACTGTCAAGCAACCTGACTAAGATAAGATCTTCAGAGAATATTGTGCTAATACCTTTCTGATTACACATTTCTCCCAAAATACTGTGGTTCTCAGCATTGATAAATTTGGCATTTGCCAGGCTGTCAATTGTTTTCTTGCCTATGATGTTTGAGAAACGTTGGAATTGTTGAAACTTAAGGGAAGTGTTCATGTGTTTGGGGTTATGAGCACGGATGGAAATTTGATCTTGTTATTATCTGTATTTGGAGACTGAGTATGATTGTGGAGGTATGTATGGATTTCAAGTTGACAAAGGGCAGAATGTGATGATTAAGCTTAGTTGCTAACTTGACTTAAGATTTAAGAAGAATCCTGAAGAGGTGATGATATCATAGGAGGCTATTCTCATTGGAAGAATTAGCCCTTTGCTATTGATAACTAAGCATGGTCTTAGGGGGTGGAGCACAGTGAGACGAGTCACTAAGGCCATGCCTGGGGACATTACAGGTCTCGCTTACTGTGTTTCCCAGTTATCCTGGAGTTGCAGCATTGGCCGGCCATGCCCTTTGCTGTGGTGTTTCTGTATCTGACTGTGGGAACAACAGTCTAAAACTACTGAAGCCATGAGCCAAACATGAATCTCTTCTCCTTCGAGTTGCAGATGTCGGGTTTTTTGTCCCAACACCCATAAAGCTGAGCTATACAGAGACTGATTACGTTAAGGATTGAACAATCTTGTTTCCCAAACATTGGTAATTTATGTTGTCATCTCCTTGCATTGAATCAGCAATTAACACATTAGTCAATTTCCTTCTTCCAAAAGTTCATTTACGTCTATGATAGCTCTTTAATCTTTCTAAAAAATATTTACGTTTTTCTGTACTACTTTCCAGTTTTTCTGTGTTTTTCTTTCGTCTTTTGCCTGTCCTCACCTTTATGCTTTTTAACCTCATTCCTTCACTGCTGTAGCCGCAGTTTTAATCTTGATTGTGGTGTACGAAGTCACGCGGGCAAGGTTACTGAGAGGTAATGAGAGCCAAAGCTACTGTTCCCATCTCTACCCAAGGGCTGGTATCACAATCTCAGATGGCTTGATTTAGGCTTCAGTGATGCTGAGCTTGTTTTTTTTTTAATCTGCAACCTAGTTCTCGATAGACATTTTTAATTAAATATCTTTTTTAGTATTACAGTAGATGTTGATAAAAAAAAAAAGAAAAAAATTATCAAAGCTCAAAACTAGGTATACCTCAAAATCCAGTAGATTTTCAGACTTCAAAGCAAACACTCCATGAAAGTGTTTTTAACTTAATAACTCCATAGTCCTGATTGAACAGCTACAGGAAAAGCAAAAGATGAGACTTCAGCTCGACTTGAGCAAGAGAGTTGCACATTAGGTCATAGAATACCACATATGATCAACTTTAAATTAACAGTCACACTGATGATGTGATTCTGAATTAGATGCACTCCGAGCCACCACAGGGAAAAAAGCATGAGGTGTATCTAAGACAAGATGTAAAGCGTGGCACTAGATGTGCGTCATATACAAAATTAATTTAAAATTCCAAACCACATGTGGAAACAGTCAAAGAATTCTTAGGTGAACTAAAACAATATAACAAAATGTAATAAACTCAGGTAGAGGTGTCAAATGAAAAAAGCCTGGATTTCTTTTAACTATGTCAAAGGATTAAAACTCAAAGTGGAAACATGCAGAATAGTGATATGGAAAATACCAGACATACCTTACAAAACAAACCAACACAAACTTCATTTTCCGTGGACATTTGAAAAACAAATGGTGAAGCGTCATTTAGGAGGGAAACTGCAAGGTAGTGAGGGGAAGGACAAAGTGAGGGAGTGAAAGTAATGCTGTGCTGTGTTGCTGGTGTGATTTCACAGTGAGCTGCCTCAAGTCATGACAAACCGCTTGGTGGGTGTTCAGCACAGTGAGCTGGGGAAGCTGCAGGAGAACCTGAGCCCAGGGGTAAGCTAGGGGGATTTAGCACCTCAGGCAATCCTGGGGCAGGGGATATGGAATCTGGGCTGCTCCAGTGCTGAGGTGACCCTGGAGTTTGGGTCTGCAGGGTTTAATGTGGTTCTGCGCAGGCCTGGAGCCTGCGTCCACACACGCTGGAAGGTGCTAGACTCCAGGAGGGTAGACCTTTACTGAACTTTGACCTTTGCTGTCAGTTTGAAACCTGGGACCAAGTGGCTTGGAGTGTGAGAGGAGCCTGCAGCTGGACTCCCCGCATCTGTCCTGTAGCTTGGGGCTTGACTGGCTGAGTGGGCCTGGAGTCCATTGTGCAGATGTGAGCCTGGAAATGGGATCACCAGAAATCAACTCAGGGCTGAGACAGTTTGAGGCCTCAGGCCACAGGGACTAATTTGACGCTGTATCAGCTCAGAAGCCACAGCAAGTGTGGCCAAACCACAACCTGCAGAGCCCTCCCATCCCTTTAATACTGTTACTATGACAAATATATGTGTATGGAAAAGGAAGTTTTGTTACTTATGTGTGTTAACTATATCACATTTTATATGTGAACTGAGTGTCCCTCTTCACTCTCTCTGGCCAGGCAATCCACAGCTTGGACTCACCTGGCCACGGCTGAGTCTATGAGTGCTGAACTTATTCCTTGGCTACTGTCACCAGCTGGGCACCTGGGCTTCCTGGTCTGCTCTGGCAGTGGGGAAGGCTGGCAGCCTGGGTCTGTGGGGGTCAAATTAGTGCTGGGTGTATCGATTCTATCATTTCCAGTCAAAATATTTCTGAATTTTTCTGTGAACAACTTTCACCTAGAAAGAAGCACACTTGATCCTTTCCAGGTATGATAACTTTTTAAAAATTTACATAGTTGAACAGTTTCTGATCTATTGTTTAAAAAAAAGTTGCCATAAACTTATTGATGCTTCATTCCCTGTTTCATGGTTTAATATTTTCTTTCTTATTATGAGGTTTACTCTAATTTCTTTAGCATCACTTTCTCAGATTAAAGCAGTTATTTTTCCTATTTTAAAATTATATTTCTAATATTTAGAAAAAAATCAAGTGAAGTTTCATTTTAGTTATTTTGGTTTCAATTGGAACATCTTTGAGGTTAACAGTGGCAGTTTGTGTGTCCACTGCAAGAAGCTTAAAATTGTAACTATCCAGAATAATTAGCAACAAATATATATTTGTTGATAATGATGCTTTATAATTTTTACATCATAACATATATAATATAATAAGGATTTGAGAAAGAGAAGTACATAATGTTGCATATACTATGAACATGGACTTAGTTTCAATCCCAAGTAGCAAAAAAATCAGAAGTTGTATAGTACTCAGATTTAACATCCTAATTTAAATCAGCACGTGAAGTTTCAGATTCTTTTAGCAATACAACATCTGTGATTGAGACAGAAACAATTTTTTCAGACATTTGGAAATGGAGAAGCAAAATGACAAATTAAAAGCACACATTGTCCCTTCAGTCAGAACCTAGAGTGCCCTGTCCTCTGGTGATGTGTGATGAGATAAACTAATTTCAAAATAGCTCAAGGTGCATGAGTTTCCTGTTAACTTGAAGTAACACATTAGTAACAAATCTGCTTTTCCTGCTTTTGACTCACTACAAGCCTCAAAGAACAGCCTACAAAGACCACAGTCATTTTGGCTCTTGTCTTGAAATTTTGTTATTAAACATCACCCTTTTTTACTCATCTGTAGCCAGACATTTTACATAAGTAACCAATCTTCCCACTAAAGGAAGCATGAATTTGTGCCAACAGGAGGAATGTGTTGATCCTGCCCTGTGGCTGGATGGTCCAGTTCAATGACTGAGAGTTGGCAGAGACTCTATTTGATATAACTGAATGCTAGTCATATAAAATAAAATCAGAGCAGAACCTTGATATATCTGCTTCAATAATTCAAGGACAGATCCTAAAACAAGAACTTTATGGGTTGATTCTGATCATTGCCTGTTGAGAACTGTTCAAGTGCATCCATACACATTTCACCTTGTTAATCAATGAAATTTAAAAATGAAAGCCATTAGCATGTTAAATGTACTATTAATTTTAGAATAATAATGTACTAACTTACATTTAACCCAGACATTATAGACTATTAAAAATTTCATTGGATAATGAAGGTCAAATATAATTCCTCAGATCTTGACTTAGATTATTTTCAGTGAATTTATGCATATTATTTGCTAACTTCTGAGGGACATCGTCACAGCACAGTCCATGACCTCACTCAGCTGCAGGGATGAATATTACAAAGAATAATCCACTCAGAACTGGTTAAATAAAGAAGCTGCCAAGGAAATTACCAGCACTAAAACTTTCATTTCAATAGGGGAGCAGGAGAAAACTCATGCCCTGTTAATGACAGTGGCCACAACTGGAAAGGGAAAACGCTTCATTGACCCTTGCTGTGACTGTTCTAGGATATGAAACGGGGGCACAAAATGTGTGTAAAAAGTGACAAAAAGGCTCACATATTTTTCATATGTGAGAACAGGTGCTCTCACTTGAGATATGTTATGCTTTAAAATGTGAAAATCAATTTTATTTATTGAAATTTCTTGTCATTGATTGGGCAGTTATGGATCATGAAACTCACTGAAAATGCAGAGGTGTTCTAGAGACAGGGCACTGGTGGAGTGGGCTTGAGATTTGAGCTTACTTTGGGATTTCCTGTTCTGCAGGCTCTCTTGAATGAAAATCTTCTAAATAGCTCACTTCATTCTGCTTTGTCATCAGGGCCATGCCTGACCTTGAAGATTTCCCATCATCTCCTGAGAAGTGCTTTGCTGCACTCCTGGGAAGCATCCTCTTGATCTCTAAAGCCTCCATGCTGGCTACGATGGTTACTGTGATTCTTGGTATGTATATTTTTGAGACCATAAAGGAGCATTCTACATTAATTCTGGAAAATGCTTTTAAACATTCCAAACTTTTGGGAGAAACAGTTGTCATTTTAATTCATATATTTGGATGGACTGTGCAATTGTTATTCTGAATTCATTAAAAATATAAAAATGGAGAAATTTTAGCTTGTACTTATAAAAGATTATATACATATATCCTAATTTCATAAGCAAATAAAAGGCTTTAAGTAAAAAGCTTTAAAAGGCTGAAAATCCTTATTAAGAAACGCAAATTGATTTTTGAAAGTCATAATACAAGATACAATACTGTGACAGATACTGACTTTGGACATCTAGGCCTTTTCAAAAATATTTTATCGCTTTATTAACTTTTCTTGGTAAAATCAATTTCACTCTACATTGTTCTAATTCTAAATATTATATATTTCAAATGAAGAAACTAAATTTGCTTTATTTTTCAGAAATTAACTTTACAAAAAGTTCTTTTATATTTTTATTGCAGTAATATAGGAGTACAATAATTCTTTGATTAAAAAATGTACAATGATTTTCAAAGTTCTGATATTTGCACAGATATTTGTATTTGTATATTTTCTTTCTAGCAAAAGTCTTTCAAAATGGTAATTGAATTCAGTGAAAACTAAAGCAAGCTAAAAATATGGGCTCAATAAGCTCATGAATAAAGCAGAAGGACATTCCTTTCTGGTGAACAGTAAGAAGATATACCCATTTGAAATTGCAATATTTGCATCAATATTCTCAAATTTTCTACTATATAAAGTAAGAGTTAAATGCATTATTCTACAGATGAAGTTTCATTCAGTGATTTTTCCGTGCTTGTTTATATGAATTGGTGTTTTGTTTTATATGTGGCAGCCAGTGGTAGTGCATAGATCTGTATGTACTGAAGTGCAATCATAAAATACAGTGAGTGTTTAAATAAAAATTTTACTACAGAAAGCATGCAACCATTAATCTTGCTCAAATACTCCCCTTATTTCAATCACACTTATTCTGCCATTCTTCCCACATTCTGAAGCAGTATTTTTGAAAGTTTTTTTTTTTGCCGCATCAATGTCCTGAGTCAATTCAAAATATTTATGACAGTTTTTGTTAAATAAAAAGCTTGCATGCTTCTTTATACTCACTATGTACTGGACCTGGCACCAAGTGACTTCTAATTCTTCCTCAAAGTCAAATCAGTGTGCAAATCAAACATTTTGAAGCAGTTCAAAACAACCAGGCAGCCCCAACAGGGCGAAGGAAAGAGAACTTGTACAGTTCCTTGGACAGTGACAAGAAGGGAGGGATAAGTGCGTCTGAAGCAAGGAGAAGAGTTCTGAGAAAGTCTGATGATGGTATATATTTCATTATAATGATTTTCAAACACTCCTGATATGGTCATATCTTGTGTGTTTATATATATATAAATATGCAAATTCATTTTCACATTTAAATGTTCTCATTGCTTCTGGATAGAGCTCAGTTAACTTCCAACTACATTGTAATTGCTGGCAAAGGGGATTCTTTACATATTCTAAAAGTTGTTATTAATTATTATTAATTCCATTAATATAGGAAATAAAACTTGGAACAAGTCTTCAGCATCCCAATCTGATCTATATGGACAATGTAAAGAAAATAAGGTTTTAAGTGCTTCTTTGTGATAAAACTTTTATTTAGTCAATATTATATTTGAAGAATTCATACATATAGTTATCATTTATTTACAAATCTGTACATTTAACTGGTCACAATATTTTATTTTTGTTTATGGATAGCTAATATATATTTTATTATTCATAGTTCTTGCTTTTGGGAAAAAGTGATGCCTACCTAAAAGGTTTTTTTCTGAAATAAACTTTTCTATTCAATTTTATCGTACTTAAAAATATCTAAACCTCTCACAATTCTTAGGTTGCTTACAGATCAAACCACCAGCATTAGACACAAATCATGCAGATATTAGCCATGTTCCATCCATTGATTCCTGTTATCAGTGAAATCCCAGATGCCTCTGGGCTTTGTTATTTTTTTTCGCAGGATCTGTCACAGTGTTATTTTAAACTTTTAATTTATCTATTCCATTGCTCTAAAGCTGTGGTGAGCTGTCCTGTTGCATCTTATCCATGCCATGTTCCTTCCGATGGAGAACTTAGTGACGTTCTGCCATCTGAGTTTAGGTCACCATGACTCTGAGATGAGCATTCATGGAGAAACAGCTCTTCTAAAGGAGTGATGGCCTTCTCATGATTTTCCCCTAAGCGTATAATGAGGAAATGTTTTATAATGAATCTGTACTTGAATGTAAAATGATTTTGTATTTAAGCTTTCTCTTTTGTTTAAATTCCCGTATAGTTTTAGAGAAAATCACTGACATTGCTACCCTCTGATCAAATTAGATATGTGGCTATTACTCTCTTTTGTCCTGTGGATATTCCATCTGTTCTAATCACAGTGATCCAGCTCTTCATGATTTTCAGTTCAGACTTTTACCTCAGAAGTCGTGTTTAGTGAGCTGATTTTTACTTTGTTCTTTTTGTAAATGATACATCATTAAATAAGAACTAATATGTAAGGTATTATCATCATAATTTTACTCAGATATTTTATTTTGTTTATTTTATGTTTAAGTTACTAACAGTGAGAAATTTGATGTTCCATTTCTTTGGTCGGTTCACAGAGGTTCTTTCTTTCTTTCTTTCTTTCTTTCTTTCTCTTTCTCTTTCTCTTTCTTTCTTTTCAGAGAAAAAAACAAAATAAAAAAAAGTAGAAATAATACAGAATTTCCAAAAAAATAGCAGTAAGAAATCACTAGTTGATAAGTTACATCCAAAATGTGTAGTAGATATTGTTAACAATGAGAGAGAAAGCAAGTGCTCAAAAGGGAAGAACAACTTGTAGGTATACACATATGTATACTGACATGTATGTGTGTATGTATGTTTAAATGTGCAAGGTAGATAACCATACTTCTAAGCTTTTGTTAGTTCATGAAACAGAGTAGTTTGTGCTGTCATTTTTGACTGTCATAGTTTGATTGTCTGTTCATTTTTTATGCTTTGGTTTTGTAACTTGAACAACTATTTTTAAGATTATTACTTTCTAAATGTTAAATTACTAAAGGAGCAAATGTGAGTTGGTTGTTAAAGTGACACTTTTTCTTTTGTCATAAATTTTAATATTTACTCATAATGAGTATTATTTATTTTTAATTTCAGTTTTTCAAGAAAGAAATGAAAAGGAGAAAGTGCTGGAAGACCTCAGGAAAGCTCACATTACACAAAATGTAAGCTCTTTACAGAAACTTTTGACAAATGTGACTTCAGAATACATTTTTAAAAATAAAATGGATCAGGAAAAAATGGATCTGGAACTGTTTTTTGAGAACAGAAGGCACGGAAAAGATAAAATCTTTGCAAAGCCTTTGGAAAATGTAGGTATGTTTTAATCCTTATGTCTACTATGAGTTTCACTATGTTAGATACTCCATTTAAGTGGAATCGTAAAGATTTCTTTCTTTCTATGGCTGGCTTGTTTCACTGAGCACAACATCTTCAAGGTTCATTCATCTTGCTACATGGCAGAATTTACTTCTTTTCAGAGGATACTATTCCTCATATGTAAATGAATTTTACTTACCCTTTCCTCTCTCAGTAGATATTTAGATTGTTTCCACACCTGTCTACTGTGAATCATGCTACATTGAAGATGGCAGTGCAATCTCTTGGCAATCCAAAATCTTGATGTATATTATCATTTTACTGAGAGCTATGGCATTTTCATTTAGTTACAAAGGCTGATAAATATATTGCTCTGATTTTCAAAATACTCAGTTACAAGACATTTAATGATTTTTCTATGTTGTAGGGAAAACTTGTGAAGTGTACTTGACCTGCTATGGAGTAAAGTGTTATTATTTTATCATCGATAATAAAACCTGGGAGAAATGTAAGCAGACTTGTCAAAATCAAGGATTATCCCTTTTGAAGATAGACGATAAAGATGAACTGGTAATATAGACTATTACATCCACTTCTATTCTCTTGGACTTTGTCCCCCAGCCTGGGGCCTAAGACAATGAGGACCTCCAACTACCCTTTGGCCACAGTTGTAAGTTAGGAGTCTCTTGTGAGACATCTGCCTGCTAAGAAGCATAGGGTCCTGCTAATTACTAACTGCTCAGTACATACCATCTATTATGATAGAGCAGCTCAGGTCCTTGCAGTCAGCTCTCTTTCTAAGGTGTCTGCAGAAGAGCCTCACGGAGAAGAATGTCTTTTTCTGTATAAAACTGAGCCCTTATTAAATTGGTCCAATAGTTATTTATCCCTAGAGAGTGGCACCAGAAACCAGGAGACAGGATAATCTAATCTAAGAGTTACCATTAGGAACCCAGGCACCCAGCTGCCTGGAGATAATCATCTTTACCACACACTAGCTGCATGACCTTAGGTTAGATTAGTTAGCCTCTCTAGGTCCATCTGAAAAAAAATGGGGATTATAATGATGACTATAAATGTATTAATCAGTGTTACCAATTAGCCTTATGTTGATTTTTATTGCATCTGCCATATAGATAATACTTATTTTATCAATGTTCTGATAATAAAGATGTATATCAGTAAAGATAATTATAAAAAGTGAAAGTATATTGGCAATGCTACAGTATTAAAATTTCATTTTAATTGATTACTAAGGAAAATCATCCATATACCCAATATGTGTTATCATAGCGAAACTCAGTGTTAGCCTGAAACCACTATTTATCATTTAGGAAAAGAACATAACATTTATATGTAAATTTGATTTAAAATATTTAAGTTACTGCATGTATATTTAAGTGTGCAGGATAGAAAACCATATTACTGAGTTTTTGTTGTATCATTGAACAGAACTGGCTGCAATCTCACTGTATGAATGTCTACTTTGTATACTTTAATTTTGTAATTTGGACAACTGTTTCTAAGATGACAGCATGTAATCTATTAACTAGTGATTTCTTACTGTATATTTTTTCCTTGAAATTCTGTACTACTTGTACCCTTTTACTGCTTTGGTTTTTTTTCTCTCTCTTTAAATAAAAAAAAATTTAAGTTATTATAATGTAAAAGAATTTATAATATCAAGTCATGAAACAATTACCTTTTGATAGAGCAAAATATAAGTCTATAATTTAAATCACATTCACTCATTTACTCAGACACTATATGCCATGTCACTATGAAGTACTATATTTTAACTCTAGTCAATACATTTGAATATATCTTCCTCTCCGCTAACTACTAAACTATAGAAAGACTGTCTCTTAGGAGAAGCTTTAATGTATATTTTCACATATTCTTTTTATTTTGATCAATTTGTTTGAAGATTATTTCTTTCACTTAAGATTATGTGATCTTCATTTTTCTGAATCCCTCAGCATGCTGGCGCATGGGTGTGAGTAGTACCATAAAGTGTCCAAAATTACTTAATGAATATTCAATTGCACAATACTTAGGTTTTACATTTTCCTGAACATTTAATAACTTATACCACTGATATCCATTTTAAAATGAATAAATAATGTATTAGTGGAAAATCACTTCAGAAAAGGCAAACACAGGGGCTGAGGGGAGAGAGGGTGAGGAAATAGGAGAGCTCTGGCCGCAGGAACAGCTGACTCCTCTGCCTGGCTTTCTTCTTGTTCATCTAACAGATGAGACTTTGTTCCATGATATATTTTGTTTCATTTACAGGGCTTCCTTTTATCCCAGATTTATCCAAAGAAGTACTGGATTGGACTATTTTTTGATATAAGGGAAAAGAGATGGAAGTGGATGGATGCTGGCCGCTCTTCTGGAATGTGAGTTTCTGGAGTATATTTAGAGTCTAACATCAATACAATCGGGCGGATTGTATTTAAAAGCATCTTCTCTAACTTCTGACAGCCAATCCCATTTCCAAATGGAGGTTATCAGAACAGGGACAATGAGTGAAAGGTGTTTGAGAAAGCCCAGTTCAAAAAGGAAGAGAAGTGTCAGACAGTTATTAATCGTAACAAAGACACAGTGCTCAAAAATGTGTATTGAAGGTGCACAAAATAAAACAAAGCATAAATTTTAAGGTAAAAGGAATTGATTGGCTATCTTGACTTACAGTATGTTTAGTACAACTAATATATGCTTGTTTATATGTTATTTACAATATATAAGAATATGTATATATATACACACATAAAAACATGTATATGTATACATATACCTTCTATTTTGAAATGCAGTATTATAAAAACCCTTAGGTTTAAATTTATTTCTAACCTTCTGTAAAACTGTTTATTAATTTTTAGAGGTAAGGACTATATATATATTCCTAGGAGTTCTGTTTTGTGTTTTCAGACAACTTTCATATTTAAGCTGGTTTTTTTTTTTTTTCTGGAAAGATAGTAAGACACTTATTTTACACTTGTTACCTGGTGCTTCTAGTTTTCACAGTTTTGTGGTGTACAACAATTTTCTTTTTCCTTTTCAAGCTGCGATGGAAACTATTTGAGACCTGAGATGAAGGAAAATGGTTTTTGTTGGATGTCTTAGTGTACTATTTTCAAGTCTTTTTTTTTTTTTTTTGAGACAAAGTTTTGTAATGTAGCCCAAATTCGCCTTGAATTACCAGCAATCTTCTTTCCACAACCTCCCAAATGCTGAGATTACAGGCATACATCACCATCCTCGGCTTCATCAGAGTCATTTTTAATTCTAAATTTAAGTCTTGTAAGCATTGTGTTCTGGGCTGCAACCTGCAAAAGGAATCCTACAAGAAGTCCTTGATATAACTTATCCCTCCAGGCAGATCATTCCAGAAGTGGGATAACAGAAGGTTCACAGGCCAAATTCAGGTACTCAAAACACAGTTAAATCAGTTAGAGCCCAAAGCACAACTCAGAAGGAAAGAGATGGGTTAGGTCATTTTCCTGAATACCTTGGAAGGTGGAAGGAGTGAGGAGATGGTCTGAATTTGGGGTTAAGAAACCTTTATACACCCTGCCTACACTGCACCTTGATAGTGTGGTTATTGGGGTCAGGGGTGAGGTCTCAGTAAGAAGGCCAAGGTCTCAGGAGCTTCTTTTGGTCAGAAACATATTTTCTCTACCGGAAAAAATCTTGTGAGCCTGGTCACAACTTCAGTTTTCCATTTAACCACTTAGCAGCTATGTGTTTACTCTGTTTCTAGGGCAGAGGTCAGATAGGTATCACCAATTTTGTGTTGAATTTAAAACCTCAGAATGTCAACTCTATGCTCCATGTGTTTCTGTATATAGTTAGCATCTACTAGACGTAGCATCCTTTTGAGTCTGTGTTTATCACACATTTACTGCACTACTGAACTTTATACATAACAAATTCCATCGTTACCAGTTTACCTGCCCTTTCCTAACATGTATTATGTGTTTTGCCTGTGCCTTAATAGCTTCTTTGCTTCATTTGTCTTTTATATTTATTTTTCTTCCTACAGCAAATTACATTGTATCAGAGTTTCACTTACCCTTGAGGTTCCCACTTTTACTTAAATACTAGCCTGAGTAGGAATCTGCTTCTCCCCCCCATTCTTCCTCTTCCTCCTCCGCCTCTCCCAAGCCTTCCCCCTCCCTCTCCCCCCTCCTCCACCCCTCCCCTCTCCTTTTCCTCTTTCTCCCTCCTCCTCTTCCTCCGTACTAAGGATTGAACTTAAAACCTTACATTTGCCAGGCAGGCACTTGTGCTGCTGAGCTAAACTCCCAGCCTGGAGTCACATCTTTTAACAAATACATATGGGGAGAGAATCAAAACAAAGCAAGCAAAAACATCAATCAAGAAACCTTATATCTGGTTATATTCTAATTTTCTTTTTGTTTTTAAAATATGATTTAAATATGAGCATATGAGGCCTTGCTGTCTATGTGCCAAAAATATATTTCTTCTTTTTAATCTATCATTTTCATTGGAAAAAACCAATATAGCAGTCTTAGTGTCTCGTAATCACATGACAATCTTGCAAATTATTTTTGTCTGCTGACCAGACAAAAATTTTGTTTTGGAATAAAATAGGACTTATGGGTCATTATTCTATTAGTGGGCTAAAAATGAAAGAAAATCTTTAATGAATTTATGACTAATATTTTCATATTCTAAGCAATAGAATTAAAAAAATTGCTTGTACTGTAGTAAGCTTCAGAATTATACAGTTAATCACATGTTTCCTGTTCTACAGTACCATTGCCATAATGAATAAACTTCCTACGGGTGGAAAATGTGCAATTTTAACTCCAACAATAATATCAAGTATGTTCTGTGATAACGCCTACTCTTGTGTCTGTGAAAAGAGAATGGATGCTACTTTCCCTGCCTCGGTGTGCAGGAAGGAAGAAAGGTAAACATGGAATGCTGTCGTTTTGTTTGTTTCCTGTAATAACTTGTAATTACTTACACATAAATATTTGACTCCAGGACTTAGTCTGATACGGAAACAGAGAGAGATAAGCCTGAAAAGAAAGAAAATGTTCTTTTGGAACATGATTTAGAGATCAAAAGCTATTGCTCCTCCTGAAGAAGAGAAGAAGAATTTGTCTTTAGGGAGCTGTTGTCTTTTTCTTCAATAACCTTGAGGAATTTTACTATATTCCTGAACCACCTTGAAGACCAATTCACCTTCATAAACAGTCTGCATCTTTTCTTTATCCATAGAAAATCCTTTAGATAACATGTATATTCAACAGCACATTTAAGAACTAGAATAGCTAGGCACGGTGTGCATACGTGTAATGCCAGCACTCGTAGAGGCTGAGCTACGAAGATTCCAAGTGTAAGCCCATGTTACCAATTTAGGGAGACTATACTGGAGAATAAGAAAGGGTGATGGATGTGGCTCAGTACAAATTCTCTGTTTTCAATCTTTACAGCCAAAAATGAAAGAAAAAAAGAAAAGACACACAAAATAGAATATAATTGCATGTTTTTTTATTATTTCTATAAAATATAATTTCAACTTGCTGAAGAATTGCAAGGGTATTCAGGTAGCACCTATGTATCCTTATCTGTACTTATCAGTTGTGTGTATTTTGCTACAGTGGTCAAAATCAGAAAAGTTAGTATTAATACAGTGTTACGATGTCATCTATAGTCCTTGTTCTATCATCCCAATACTATTGCTTATAGATCTTTTCCTCCATGACAAGCACCATGCAGTCCATTTAGTTGTGATGTAGGTTAGGGTCATTTAGTCCAAAATGGTTTTTCAGTCCTTGGTTTTCCTGATATTTTAAAGCCAAACTTTATTGAGTTATGTCATGTGTGTAATGAAGAGCACCTCTTGAAGACATGAGGAATAAGGAGTTAACAAACACATACACCATGTATGCACTATCAACGTGGTGCATAGGACACTTCTATCATGCCAAGAGTTCCTTGTAGCCTCTTGCCATATAATGCACTGTATGCAAATAGTGACATGCTTTCTTTCACTATAAACTAGTGAGTTTCGTGTATGATGTACTCCTTTGTACCTGGCTTTTTACTGAGCATGTTTTTGAAATTAATGCTTTGTTTTTTCTTGTATGAATAATTCATTCCCTTTGATATAAAATATTATTACATTGTACATTGTATAATACAATTTTTAAAATTCATTTACATGTAAACATTTCATATGTTTTCAGTTTTGGTTTATTTTTATTAATAAACTATCCATTTACATTTGTGCACTACTCTCTGGGTGGACTTTTATTCCCTATAGAGTAATGATACTGAGGAATGCTGCATATTTTTATTGGTCATTCACATTTTTTTATAAAATGTCCATCTTTTGCTCACTTATTTAGAAAACTGGGTTTGTCTGTGTTCTACTAAGGAAATATAAGAGTTCTTTAAGATGGATACAAATCATTTGTTACATACATGTGCTCTGAATATTTTCTTCTAGTCTCTGTATTTCCCCTTTGTTAATCATATATTTCAAGAGGTAGAAGTTTTCAAATGTGAATGAGGCCCAATGAATCATTTTTTCATTCATTTCATTTTTAATATATCACCTACGAAATCTTTGCTTATTGTTATGGATTAAGAACTTGTGGTCAACTTAACGCCAGCTGGATTACATCAGCATGGCATTGAGAGAAGATGCTCCACCTGAGGAAAGTTGCCAGCACAAATAGGTGGAGAAGGAGGGAGGTGTTGAGGGTTGAGGTGTTAAGGCGATGTAGCATTGTGGGTTCTCCTACATGTTGCTGTTTGAGCCTTTGGTTCTCCTGAAGAAGCTTTGGTCCTCACATCGAGCACTGCTTCCTGGCTCCACAGAGGAAGACGTGTGCCGCTTGGTCTCCAGGATGAATTCGTCACGCTGCTTCCTGGCATGTACCCGACTGTGCTTGTCGTCGGAGGAGCTTGGAGCCTCCGTGTCGCTGAGGATGGCTGTGGTGCCTTTCAGGACAGCCCTGGTCTTTGTTGTGAGTGTAACTTCGTGGCTCCAGCATTCAACACTCATCCCACCAGCACAGCTCCTTCACCCTGCTGGCATAAACTTTCTGACATCCCACCGCCATCCCCTGGCCTTCCTGGCACAGATCTGTTAAAGAGACTGGCGTGAGTCCTTCTTGTGGGTTCTGGTCCTCCAGTTGGACTCGTGGGAGGCATTGTCCTGAGCTCTGGGTTTTTATCTGGACTCATGTGGGACATTGCTGTGGGATTTACGTTCTTGACTAAATAATCTGTCTTTGGTGTTGTGGATAGATTTCCTGCATTTTCCTGTGTTAACTCCTGGTGACCATTATAAAAATAATATTATAAACTCCATGTTTTGATCCTAATTGTTCTCTGTGTACAACCCCTGGCTATAGGACTTATATCAAGATTACAGAGACTTTGCCTTTTTATTGACTGTAAAAGATCTATAGTTTTAAGTTATATATTTAGCTTATACTTATTTCAAGTTAATATTTATGTAGAAGAAAAGAATTGAGGTTCACAATTATTTCACTTTGGCATCTACTTGTTCTTGTTACTGTTCATTGAAAATGCTTTCAATTCTTCCTCTGAATTGGTCCCTGTGTAGAAAATTAATTGGCCATATCTGTGTGGTTGATTTCTGCACTCTATTTGGTCTCATGTATCTATACAGTCTTGTTGCAGTGACGTCATAATGGCTCAGTTACTTTATAGTAACCCTACTGCCTTGTGAGTGCTATTGCAGCATAGGACCAACACTGAGTGGAGGAGTCAACAATAATGATGGAGGGTGACAGGAAACTAGGAGGAAGGGCACACCATTGGGAAGCCGTAGTTGAAGCAGATACAATGATTAACAGGACCTTTTGGCTTTTGTTGTAGGAGAGACGTAAGAGCCTCTGTCTTGGAGGTGCTGTAGGGTCTTTGTGGTGCATTCTTGATCTAAACTGTAAATATGGATAAGAAACAGTGCTTAAGTCATGTGACCCTCATCTGACCGCTAGAATGAACATGGGCTTCACTCAAAGCAAAATACAGAGGACCAGTTATCAAAAGGGAATATGTAGAACTTTCATAAGGATCTACTGTAGCAAATTTGTGATCTGGCATATATTTTTGGTCATTTCTAGGGCATTGAACCTAGGGATGGAACCTAAGGCCTTCTATGCTTTTCTTTTACTTTTATTCTTGTGATTGGTCTTTCTTAATGAGTCTATTACTAATCAAGACATACACATGTGTGACACATTGTAATTGTAAGATGAGTGAAGAATATATGTTTGCATGTCTTGTATTGAAGTCATCATGGGAGACTGAAGAGAAGGATAGATTGAACCTGATGGGTGGTAGGAATACTGGGGGATGCACCTGAACCTGTGGAATCCAAAAGTCACATCCATATCCACCCAACTCTATGTGTCCACCACATCCACCACCTGTCAATCTAGCCTTTCCTCCCTATGCTTGCCCCCTCCCCCAGAACGTCTCCTGAGGATCCAGCTTTCCAGCATGGTGGGCCTGGTTATACTGTGCCCTGGCCACTGGGTCAGAATATCCACCCATCGGCCTCTGTCCTCCTCCTTCTCCTCCCCTCCACAGCCCCTGGCATTCCTCCTGCAAACTCTTTGGGCCTAGGCAAGGTGTTGGAAAAGAAGATACAGAAGAAAACGAAGAAAGCTCATAAAAAGTCCCACAAACATAGAAAGCGTGCCTCGTTTTCCTCCTCTTGCAGCAGTGACTCTGACTGAATACAGGGCCTGGAACCTCCCTCAAGTCTCAGCCGTCCTGCTCTCCCATCAAGCTTCAGCTGCCGTGCATTATGCTGGGGGAATTAGCTCATCACCTTCCTTGATGAGCCTTACCCTGTGCTCCAGCCCTGGACCTAGGGACAGGGGAAGTGGATCCCATGAGAGAGCAAAGGCCATCCTCTGGCTCCTTGATAGAACCATAGCTAAAGAGTAGCAGGGAGCAGTGTTTGAAGATGGTGAGATCTTTGAGCTGAATGCTGAAGACAAGCTTAAACCCTGTAAAATGAGATCTTTTTCACATTTTCTTTTGTAACACAATTGGGAGGTTTAGGGGAAATTCCATTACAGTGGAAAACCTGTAACTTTTTTACAATAGTGGCACACTTAGGTGATTTAGTGGCTAATATATTTCCCAGCAGGTCAAAAAAAAAAAAAGAAGAAGAAGAAGAAGAAAGAAGAAGAAAAAAGAAAGAAGAGTCATCACGTCCAGATTCAGCATAAAAGATAGTTGTCATAGAACAGCAGTGACTCTTATGAGAGTTAATTTGGAAAAAATACACTCAACACTTTTGATATGGGGTAATTTTCTCCTAAATAATAAATCAAATTTGACTTCAATGAGAGAAAAAAAAATAGCTGAGGCATTAAAAAAAGGAAAGAAAGTATAGCTGGTGCAGAAACCAAGGTAATAACAATAATGCTGTCGACTTCTGTGTCTTTTGTTTTGTTTTTATTTTGAATTGAATATACACTGACAAAAAGAAGTAGCAAATAACATAGGGGGCCAACTTGTGCCGTGTACTTCATTTCCCCAGTGCTAATATTTCACGTTACTCTACGATCTCATCAAAGACATAAATTTGACATTGGTACAATTCATAGACCTTATATAAATATTGCTATTTGTTTGTTTATGTTTGTATGCATATATGTATGTAATTGTATACAATTTGACCATATTTAAATTTGTATAACTACAACCACATAGGTATGTATTTACATACTTGGGTGTTTACCATCTCATTTGGTACTATTAAGCATGATTATTGTACAAAAGAAAGGCAAAATATTAAAGCCTTACTTTTTTTTTTTTAATTTGGAAGGTAGTGAAATACAACAGAACATAGCCAATTGAGACAATGCAGTGAAATTGGTACAGAACTTCACAGCAAGTTACCAGGATAACAGTCATAGAGTCTATAGTATATCTTGTTATCTTCACAATAATTGTACTTTCAATCAGGTATAGCAAAATCAAATCAAATACAGAACATTATACAACTTATCAAAACAGATTATTGAATACAATGATCCAATTAATCCGAACAAAACCTTTAAAGAGAAGGTAAAAGGAAATCCCCCCTATTTGCTATATTGCATATGGTCAAGCTCCCAAGAAATGGCACAGATCTCTGGCTCCCATTTGCTAATGGGGTATGGGAGTTAGGATGTTTTATTCTCAGTTCACACACAGCTAGGCTCAAGTCTGCTTACCAGGGAGCTGAGCTGGTTGCTTGGTTTCCCAGTGGCCTAAGTTCTACCATGGTGCAAAACTCGGGAGAAGCTGAGTGGTTCTCTCCCTGGGGCGGCCATCACTTGCCCGACTCATTGCTGCTTACCAGGGAGGCAGGCTGGTTGTTTGGTTTCAAAGCATCCTAAATTCCAATGTGGATCACTGGAGATGCTGCATGGTTCTCCCCCTGGGGGGCTGACAATGCTTACCTCAGCCATGGCTGCTTCCCAGGGAGGCAGGCTGGTTGCTTGGTTTCACAGCACCCCATGTTCCAACATGGCACGGATTTCAGGAGATCCTGGGTGGTTCTCCTCACCTTACCATTTTTTTCAAACTACTTTTCGTAATAATGATTCAGTTTAGTAGGGGAGAATTTGAATGATTTTTTGGCTCAGAAAGAGAAAAATTTAACATATTGCAAGTCAGTTCTAATTCTTGAATTGCATATCTCCTTTCAATGTTTTTTTTTTTGCGTGTGTCTTAATGAAGTATTTTTACAGCCTTATGTTTTACTAGTTATGGAAATGTGTTAATGGGTGTAGAATTCTGTGTCCAATACTTTCTTTAATGCTACTCCTCGCTCAGACTGCTTTGAGAGAAACAACAATGTGCCAATGTTACATACATGGAGCTACTTCTAAGCACTTCAGCCTGCCTTGTCACTATTTTACAGAACAGTAATGCCCACACAATAAAATAATGTATAAATCATTCATAGAATGTATTCCAAACAAGAGTAGAGAAAATATTTAATGTTTTGATTTTTCTTCACTTTAGCATTTAATGACTATCTTTTCAAAATAGCAAATATCATATTGCATATATCTTAAGCATAGGAACCCATTTTAAAAAAGCACTACAGAGATCTGAGGTGCATTTGTGGCATGTCACCTCTTATGTCATTATAAATGGTTCTTCTGTGTGGTGAGCTGTTGAGTGAGACTTTGAGTTCCCCTTTTGAAATCACCTGTTGCAGCTGACCAATTGGTCTG